CAGGAACAGGAACGTGACATTGAACGTACAAGGCTACAATTGATTGCTGCAGGCAAACTTGGCAGATCTCCTTCGCAACAGTCAAGCCTGGCAAGTATGATCAAGTTCCTGCCTAAATTTAATGAGCGTGAGCCAGAAGTGTTTTTTTCGTTGTTTGAGAATGTGGCGACTGAACAAAATTGGAGCGATGAAGACAAAACAGTCTTATTACAAACTGCGTTAGTGGGCCGTGCTCAGAGGGCCTTTGTGGCGTTACCCTCCTCTGAAAAAAAGGTCTATCAATGCGTCAAGGCAGCTGTGTTGAAGTGTTATGAGTTAGTCCCTGAAGCTTATAGACAGCGATTTCGATCATGGCAAAAGTCGGACAAGCAAACTTATGCTGAATGGGCTAGCGACTTAACCAATTTCTTTCATCGTTGGCTTACATCTGAAGATGTTGACACTTTTGATGGGTTGTGCGATCTAATGATATTAGAGCAACTTAAGAACACTTTGCCTGATCGTATAGCCACGTACATTAACAAACACAAGGTGAAATCCGCAACAGGTGGGGCCGTTCTGGCGGATAATTATTCTCTCATACATAAGATTCCGGCTCGTGAGTTCAGTCCGCGTTCTACCAGTAATTACAGGGAGCGTCGCTACAGTCGTGTTAATACGGACAGTTTTTCCAATTCGGTTGGGCAGGGTAAGCCATCCGATTTTGATCCTAAACAGGACTGTAATTACTGTTTTGGAAAAAACCACTGGAAAAAAGATTGCCCGGTATTAATGGAGCGTAATATGAAGGGTGGTAGAGGCAAAGTTGGCCTCTGCGCCTCATCGGGTCCTGCAAGGCGTTCAGGGAGTAAATCTGAAAAAACTCCAACGAAGACAGTGAATCGTGCACAATGTACAGTGTCTGTTGAGAAAGACCCGAGTACTACACACTGTGAACAGTCTGAATTGTATTCTTCCAGTATAGCGGATTATGCGCCGTTTGTCACGGAGGGTTTTGTTTCATTGACTGGGGATTCACACCGCGTCCCAGTAAAAATTCTGCGTGATACTGGCGCATCTGAAAGTTTCATCTGTCAATCTGTCTTGCCTTTTTCCGACGAATCTGATACAGGAAATTGTGTGTTGATTCGTGGTATTGGTCTCCAGTCATTTCCAGTGCCGCTTCACAAAGTGCACTTGTTCTCTGGGTTTGTGAACGGCGAGGTGACCATTGCGGTGCGTCCTTCCTTACCTATAGAAGGCATTGATCTGATTGTGGGGAATAACTTTGCTCATAACTGTGTGTTTCCAGATCAGGTCTCACCAACGCCCGTGGTTAGGACTGAAGCGTATGTATTGGATGAGTCAGATGTGTCTCAAAAAGATTTTCCGGATGTTTTTACGGCATGCGCTGTGACACGCGCTATGGCTCGTAAGCAGGATGCCGAGTCGTCTGAGGTATCTAAGAACACGTCTGCTCGTATATATATTCCGCAGTTACCAGAATCTTTGTCTCGTAGTGACATTGCTGAGGCTCAAAAATCTGACCAGAGCTTAAAGAAGTATTTTGAGTTGGCTGCAGATGACAGGTTGGAGCACGGTTACATAGTGAACGACTGCTTATTGCTACGAAGGTGGTCTCCAACTGCTGACACTGATATGAGGGGTCAGGTTTTGCAGGTGGTGATGCCTGAAAAGTTCTGCGAAGTTGTCCTACAAACAGCTCATGGGGAAGCAGCAGGTCATTTTGGGGTAAAGAAAACATACAATCAGTTGTTGCAACATTGCTATTGGCCACGGATAAAGAGGGACGTGGCACGGTTTGTTAAAACTTGTCATGTCTGTCAGGTGGCAGGTAAACAAAATACCATCACTAAGCCTGCACCTTTACAGCCTATTCCGTCCGTTGGTAAGCCTTTTGAGCATTTGGTCATTGATTGTGTGGGACCTTTACCCCAGTCGAAATCTGGCTGTGTTTATTTGTTTACTATCATGTGCCAGGCGACTCGCTACCCTGCTGCATTTGCTTTGAGGACTATTACGACAAGGTCTGTGGTGAAATGTTTGTCACAGTTTTTTTCAATATTTGGTCTTCCCAGGGTCATTCAAAGTGATCGAGGTTCAAATTTTACGTCAAAGACGTTCGCAGCAGCTTTGAAGGAGCTGCGTGTCCAACACAACTTGAGTAGCGCTTACCATCCGCAAAGTCAAGGGGTTTTGGAACGTTTCCACGCCACTTTGAAGGCTCTATTGCGAACATATTGCGTAGAGATGACACGAGACTGGGAAGATGGTTTGCCCTGGTTGTTGTTGGCGGCTAGAACAGTTGTTCAAGAAGGCACAGGTTTTAGCCCAAACAAACTAGTATTCGGCCATAAGGTTCGGACCCCATTATTTGTTTTAAGTGATTTTAATTCATCCGAACCACCGGAGAGTTTGTCCACTTATGTTTTGGGTTTTCGACGCAGGCTGCTCTTGGCTTGTAAAATGGCAACGGAAAATTTGACAGAAGCCCAAAGTAGGATGAAACGACATTACGACCGTAAAGCAGAACGTCGTGTCTTTAGCCCAGGGGATCAGGTGGTGGCACTCTTGCCTATACCTGGTTCTCCATTTACGGCTAAGTATTCAGGACCTTATAGTGTGGTGCGTAAGGTGTCAGAGACAAATTATGTGGTTGCTACGCCTGGTCGTAGGCGGGCAACACAATTATGTCACATTAACCTCCTTAAGCCATACTATGCATCAGTACAGCCTCCTAGTGGTAAGGCTGAAAGATCTGTTCTGATCATGGCAAGCACGGCTCTAGCCTCTCCTGCGCGGGAGGAGGATGATGTGCACGGCCCTGACGATTCTATACTGCATGCTTGTCTCAATAATTCAGAGACATTAACCAAATTAGAAGGTGTTTTGAGTCATTTGGATATACAACAACAGCAAGAATTACAAGCTTTGATTTTTGAATTTCCTTGTCTGTTTTCAGATGTTCCGACGTGCACAACTTTGCTGGAGCATGATGTAGATGTTGGTGACGCAAAACCGATCCGCCAGAGGTTTTACCGCGTTGGTCCCGATAAACGTTCAAGTCTAGATGAAAGTGTCAAATATTTACTGGACAATGGACTTGCCGCGCCATCATACTCTAGCTGGGCTTCACCCTGTTTGTTGGTTAGAAAACCTGACCATACCTACAGATTTTGCACTGATTATAGAAAAGTGAACAATGTAACAAAGGCAGACTCCTATCCACTACCTAGAATAGAGGATTGCGTGGATCAGGTAGGGGCAGCTCGTTATGTGAGCAAATTTGACCTGTTGAAAGGGTATTACCAGGTTCCTCTGACGCCTAGGGCACAAGAGGTCTCTGCTTTTATTACCCCCTCTGGACTCTACTCCTACACACGAATGGCCTTTGGTTTGCGCAATGCCCCCGCCACTTTTCAGCGGCTCATGAATCAAGTCGTTGCGGGACTGGAGGGGTGCGCCGTATATATCGATGATGTGGTCTGTTGTTCGGACACATGGACAGTCCACCTTGCCCGCATACGTTCACTCTTCGAGCGGTTTGCGGCTGCAAACCTCACTGTAAACTTAGCAAAGTGTGAGTTCGCTCAGGGTACAGTGGTGTATCTGGGAAAGGTGGTTGGTCAAGGGAAAGTTAGACCAGTGAGAGCAAAAGTCCTGTCTATTGACAAGTTTCCTCCCCCTGTCACTAAAAAAGAACTGATGCGCTTTCTTGGAATGATAGGGTATTACAGGAACTTTTGCTGTAAATTTTCATCTGTCGTTGCCCCACTAACTAACCTATTGAGGGGTTCAGTTAAGTTTAATTGGACTGCTGATTGTCAACGTGCATTTGAAAATGCTAAGTCGCTCCTGAGTTCTGCACCTGTCCTGGCTGCGCCTAAGCTGGAGGAGCCCTTCCAGCTTCAAGTAGATGCCAGCCAGGTAGGGGCAGGAGCAGTTCTCTTACAACAAGATGACAATGGAATAGTTAGACCGGTTTCCTACTTTTCACGAAAGTTTAATCGTCACCAGTTTAACTATTCGACTATTGAAAAGGAGGCCCTGGCCCTTATCTGGGCACTCCAGCATTTTGAAGTATATGTCGGTGGCGGGTTACACCCTGTGGTGGTCTTTTCTGACCACAATCCTTTCACTTTCCTCTCTTCACTTCAGAACACGAACCAGCGCCTTATGCGCTGGGCTCTCTTTTTGCAGCCGTATAATTTGATTATTAGGCACATAAAAGGGTCCGAGAATGTCATGGCCGATGCGTTGTCACAGGCTCTTGAGGACTGCTGTTAAGGGGTGATTGTCTCGACTCCTGTTTCTTGGGTTTTTCTCCTGTCTCCGGTCTTTCCACTCTTAAATTGCTATCCAGGCGCCAGGATCTGCTGGGTGGGAAGGAGGAGGTGGTGAGGGGATTTGAGGTGATAGGGCGTGAGTTTAGTCATTTCTTGTGGTGGCTGGTTGTATTGAGTGTGTGGGTGACGGGTGGTGTGTGTTTTTACAGAGTCCCCTATGGGTCTCTGTCTTGTGGGGGGAGTGATGTCACGCCCGGCTTTGCCGTGTCAGGTGTGCTCACTCCACTCATGATGTTGGGCAGTCTTTCTCCCTCCACACTAAAGGGGGAGCTGTTTAGCATTGGGGAATTTGGGTTACACAGCAGCATTGGTGGGACTATTTAAATGCCAGTTCCTGCCAGTGGCTCGCGCTCTTCTTGAGCACGCTTCTTGGGCACTCTGGAGTGGTTTGTCTCGGCTCGCTGCGCTGGCCGCTATTGGTCTAGGGAGGCGGGTTGCAGAATCACTCTTAAACTCTCTTGTACTATTTTGGCCTTTTGCCCTGTTTACATTATGTTTCTTTACCTTTAAAACTTTATGATTTAATAAACAACTTATGCAACTTTACAAACGGTGTGGTCTCCCCCTATGTTGTTTCTACCTTGAGCCAGGTAGGCGTGACACCTGTAACTTGGTAGTATCAAAGCTTCTACAACTGAGCATATGCAAGTAGTCTACTAGGAGTGGTGTTTAAACCCACATGTGCATTGGATCTTAAAGCCAACACCTTAACCACTTGGCGAACCTGGTTTGCAAGAACATCAACATCAAAATGGCTGTAGTACTAATATATTTGTGGTAAATTGAACATTACCTGAATGTCTTAGGGTGAGGATATTTGGACAATTCTAAACAAATATTTAGTTGAAGGTTGTCCATAAATGTATTTTGTGTCTTTGTTAAGGCTCATTTACACCGGGGACGTCTGCGTCGCGTTACGGCTGCGTCGCGTTCGCCGCTGCTGATCGCTGCTACTCTAGTCAATGAGAGCATTTCCACCGGGCGTGCTGCATAACGTCTCAGCTGCGTCCCAGGAGCGTCGCGCCGCAGCCGCAACGCTATCTTTACGCAGCGTTCTATTTTTGACGCGAGCCGCTGCTGAAACGCATCAATTTAAAAAGAGCAGACCGACCGGGCAGGAAGTGAAATAGTAAAAGCCATAGAGCATCCGGTCAATTTTCAAAATAAAACCACCCTCCCGATCGAACACGGCCACAAATCGTTGTCGTTTATAACTGACTACAGCACAACACATTAGGACATAACAACAATAAACAACACTGAACACAATTAAACCAGACAAAAAAGTAAACATTTACTATATAGCCTACCAACTCATGGTAGAAGCACAAACATCTAGGAAAAATGACCAAATCAACAGCAAATCAACTTCTGACAGACAAAGCAACTGCAAGTCAACTTCGTAAAGGCAAAGTAACCTTTTATTTGTTTGTTCTATATTGACATCTACAAATTATCTCGTGGTCTCCTGATTTTCACGTGGTCTTGTAGTTCTCGCGTGATCCCGCGAATCCAGCCGCCTCGCCTCGCAGCGGTGGGAATTGACGCAGGGCAGAGGACGCAGCCATAACGCGACGCAGCCGTAACGCGACGCAGCCGTAACGCGACGCAGACGTCCCCGGTGTAAATCCGGTGTTATACCTTCAAGTAGTTTCTTATTTATGACAAGCCAATTACAGGACATTGGAAGATATGCTACATATCTAACAGGAGTGGGGTTGGAAGCCAGGAGGTTACATGTCCATTGGATCTTCAGTCCAATGACTTAATCACACGGCCATCCTGGTGTGCTTGACTCCTAAATTAGATTACAATGGGTGTAGCACCAATATATTTTTGCTGAATTTGATATGATTTACCTAAATGTTTCAAGGTGAAGGTACTTGTGATGTTTGATACTTTTAACTTCTTTAAAAGGCTATGGTGGTAGAAAACCGATCATAGGTAAACATGACCCTATTTGTATTTGGGCCATTATTTTACTACTTCCTAGAATGTTGTCCTCTCGTTTAATCTTGTGGTGCATCCCAAGTCTCTTATTTGATATTTCCTTGCTTCTCGATCCTTGCTTGAATCGGAAGTAGTTCTGGTCTGCCATTTTGAAGGTCGTCCCAAATCTCTTATTTCTGCTCTGAGGAGCCAGGATCAAGAGCGAGGAGGGATCTCTGAGCGAGGATACACGAGAGCAGCCTCTTCATGCGTCCTTGGTGGGAGGGACTAAGATGTACGGAGTATTGTGGTAGTATTGCATGTCTGTGATCCAATGTTTCTTTTGCTGTTGATGCCAGTGCTGTTTGAGGATGGTCTTTACCTTCCATCTGTGAATCTCCTGGTCTATGGAGTCTGGCTGAGGGAGGTCTTCTCTCTACCATGACACCATGATTTCTTACTTTTCTTATGTGAGTTTGGACAGAGATGAAGGTATTAGGTATGTAGGAGTTTTCGACAGACCTGGTGTTTAGTTGGGTTGTCACGTGGTCAATAAAAGGCTAGAACAAATTGAGTCTGTAATTATTTCATTGACTGTGATGGTGTGTTCTGTTTTGCTACCTATTGGTCAGATGCTTATTTACCGGAACCACGTCGATTGCGATGGCAAGTTCTGATGACTTTTCATACATTTCACTGAAGCCCTCCTCATACCTACCATAGCGTAGAATTGACCTGACGACCTCTCCGGCCTCTTTGTAGGCAGTCATAAGGTCGATATTTGGTGACTCTGTAACTCTTTAGTCAATGGATGTAGCCTAGAATTTTGTCATTTGACAATTGACAACGACTATACTGTTTCGTAGGCTGCTAGCCTTGTTTGAGTTTGATGATGTTCTGGATTGCATTTCTAGGAGTTCAGAGTGAGCTGCAATTGAAGTGATCAAGAAAAGCACTGTCTTCCCTCTGGAGCCCCTGTGTGTGTCCCACATGAGTGGGATGCCTCCTGTTTTTCTTTTGTCACTTGCCTGTGTTTCCTTGCTTTCTTGTGGTTGTTGTGACATTCTTCCTAATAACAGCAGATGCAGAGAAAAACACGGCAACATTCTCAATGGTAGCCATGGTGTTTCTCCTTTCCAGTTAGTGCTTTGTTCCTCTTTGACATACTGATTATAACATCTAGGATGGAAAGGAGAGCTTTGCCTTCTTGGGATATGCATTGCTTAGAACAGAATACATGCTTTTCTGTTGCTGTTCCAACTGACTGCAAATTCTCAAGCTCAGAGGCCTTAAGGTGCGCTGGACTACCACTGTTAGTTTAGAATGATGCCCCGCTTCTCCCCAATAGCATTTTTCCAGTCTCGGAATCTTTTGTTTATGAAAATTGTGTGTTGTTTTTATGCTAAATGACAAATATAAATAGCACAGTAGGTGGAATCTTCTGAAACTGAATATCTAAGCCAAGGATATTTGTCCTCCCACTTTATATTATAGCGTAATTGCTTTTCACCAAACTTTGTTTTATGGTAATTATGGTTATGTTTGAACCACTTATTCTTGAGAAGGCAGTACTTATTTTCATCAGTGGTTCATTTGTAAACTTGGCTGGATCAAATTCATGTAGAAATGTGTCAGCTCTCTCTCCTCTCCTCCTGTCACCTCTCTTCCAGCCTCGTCTCCTCCAGTATTGCTCTGCTTGTCTGGTCTCTCTCTCTCTTTTCCCTTTGTGTCTCCTTTGCTCTTTCTCTCAACCTCATTTTCTGTTTCTCTGCTTTCCATAACCTGCTCCCTCTCTCTCATATCTTCTTGTCTCTCTGCATTCAACATTACATTCCTTCTTTCTATTTCTCTCTCCATCCTCTACTCTTCGTTCTCTCTCACCCTCTGTATTCACTGCCTGTCCCTTTCTCTTTGACTCCTTACTTGTCTCTCCTGCCAAAGTGTATTAAAAAACCTTGGTAACACTTAGCAATTAGGGTAGAATCATTGAATGCAGTAACACGCATTAACAAACAGTTTGTTAACAGTTAACTAATGTGTCCAGTTATAATTTACTAATGGTGTGCATGTTAACCAATATATTCATTTATACATTATTTAATAGTTTATAAAGACATGCTCCATAGATGTGAGGTAAATAGACAATGAAAATGCTTTGTTGATGAAGCTGTCTGAGTGGACAGCATCACACATGTGAGCTGCTGCAGTTCAGTGAGGCAGCCATGAGGTAAACAGTGTGACCCAAGTGTAAGCGTTTCCACTTCCAGAAAATAGTATTCATCGTGTTATTTAATATGTATTTTAAGTTTTATTTTCTCGCTCCTTGGATCTTCGATTCTGCTGTGTGTGTGACGTACAAGGGGAGCATCTTGTATCTTTATAAACTATTAAATAATGTATAATTGAATAGCTTATTTAACATGAATACCATTAGCAAATGATTACTAGACCAAATAGTTAGCTGTTAATTAACTGTTAGTTAATGCTTATTACTGCAGTAGCTAATTAACTAGTTAATTAATGTACCTCTATTGTAAGTCAACATTCAGTAAAATGATATGCACCTTCTTTCATCTTTGTGCTTGAGTTGCATCATTTTGGATTTGAATTATAGAAATGTGTCTCAAACAGTATAATTATGCTTGTGTTGTTAATTTGAGCCTAAAGGTTCCACTGTTACATTGTTTGAGTTACATCAGGTCAGTTTGTGTTCAGCACAGGGGCATAAAGATAATCCTATCCTGTGCACATTACCTGCTCATCTCCATCTGTCCTTATTTTTCTCTCGGTCTCCTCATCTCATCCCATATCTCTACCCTTCCCAAAGCTGAGGCTTTTCAATTTCATCTGTGTCATTGATGAAAGTAACCACAGGGTGAATTGATATGTATATGTTACCAGCCTCAGCAAGGATAATCTTGAAATTTAACCTTTTACTGAGGTCAATGGAGGGTAGCTTTGTGCACTACACCATTGTACCTTTCTATTGACAAGGGGCGTACAGCACTTTGGAATGTACCAGGAGTGGGGTTTGAACCCACAAAGATGTCCATTGGATTTTAAGTCCATCGCCTTAACCACTCGGCCATCCTGGTTGGCTGAAGTTTAGTTCCTGGTCACCCAAATCCAAACAGCGATGTTTGTTCATAAATTTGTTGAAAGGGTCTATTAAGCCAGCCATTTAATTTTAAATGTTATGAAAAAGGTGTGGGACCGGGACAAGTAGGCTAATGTTAGTGATCGGTCAGGCTTATGATTAGCGCCATTGGTCAATGAGGTGTGAGGTCACTCCTAATATCCCGCCTTAATAATATCCAGTTATGGATATAGGCTTTTTTTTAGTGTGTAGCTACAGGTTGACTGGAAAACATTTGTTATCAACTATGCACACTGGATGCCAAGAGCACTAAAACAAATCTAAATTGAAGCAAATGATGGTTTTGGGTGACCAGGTACTTCAAGCCTCATGTCCATAATAAAGTGTCATGGACATCAGGCATCAGCTGCAGAGTTAGGTTGGGCGTCCCAGACCCTGTCTAGGCACTAGGCTGAGCTGAAATTCCAGGTAGAGCAATCATGGTGTCAACTTATTGACGTTATCTCAGATGTCCCTGTAGAGAGTGTAGCATTGTGGAGGCTTTTTGTGGTTTCATCCCGGTTATCAGAATGTACTTAAGCTTGAAGAAGAATAAGGCTTTGGTGTGTCATCATTCACAGGGAACAAAGGATTTCTGAAACACAAACTATGAGTTATGAGTGTTTTCTTTTTTTCTAATGCTGTCTGGCAGTTTCTCCGAGCTTTGCGCTCAGCTGAGTTTAATGCTCGTAGCGCTGACACTACGTTGCCGTTAAATCCCCACTCTTTTGAACGCTCTTTTGAACAAGCTCTTTTGGAGCTTATGATGGACATGGCGTGTTATGGTGAATATTTGTGTTACATTGAAAGGCTATAATGATGAAAAGTTGGTGGAAGGTTGATGAAACTAACGAGAAGACAAAGAACATTGTTGTCACTACAAGTAGTAGTAGTCTACTAGTTTTTGCTTGAAAAATATCTCCTAGAATATTCTTGGCGTATTTGTTTTTCTTTGTAACTTAGGTTGACAAGGGAATTGTATTGTATATATTGATATGCTAAAAAACGGCTTAAGCATTAATATTGTGCAGAATTGTACAGAATTGACGATAATTGACCATTTGTTAAATGTGAGGTAAAGGCAGTTGTATACACAGTCAAAGCTCTTTGCCACAATTGAGCCATTGAAATATATGTATTTTTTATATTCTTTATCACAATAAATTACCTACTAGGGCCTTCAATGTAGTGAGTGTGCCTAATTATTAAAGTACTTCATGATATATAATACAATAACACATTTATTGTTGATTAGCAGAGAACTATAATATTGATAAGCCTGGCCACTTGCTTTATACGTATTCAATATTTAAAGGGGTTTTAATAAAATGATCATTGCTAACGTCTTCTCCCCAGCTAGTTGCAGCAGCAGTATAATTTCATGTTTCAGAGTGGGATTAAATCACGGTCGCACCTTTCTCTGTCTGTCAGAGTATTCTGGTGGGAGTCAGATGTTGTTCAGAAGCAGGCTTTGATTATTTTGTCATCTATTTTCTTTTGAACAGTCATTTTCTGCTCAGGCGTGATGGGATTTTGTATGTCTATTTTTCTATTTAGAATCATTTTTGTTTTGGATGTGTAGCGATGTTGAGAGTCACATAAGCATAAAACACACACACACACACACACACACACACACACACACTTTTTGTTCAACAGCATTCAGCAAAATATTTACTGTTAAAAGGTGTATTGCATTACAACTGGTGATGCACGTCGGGCAGGTCTTGTGGATGACCCAAACCTGATATTGCTTTTAGTCAATTTGCCCACAGAACCGCACTGCTGATTTTTGGAGGCAAAGTGATTCCCGTACTCGCTACACAGAAGGTTGTTATGCATCGACTTCCATCCTGTCACATTCATCTTCACTTATTACAGTGTTGCAATAAGTAGATTTGCTATTTAAGTGGCATTTTTTTCCTTCATCATTTGCATTTATATGACGAATATCTAGTAAAGTTGTGATTTTTGCCATTAGGCAATTTGTGATCATCATGGATTTTTAGGGAATAGTTGTGCACTGTGGCACTGAGAAGTGAGTGTTTGGTGAATGTGCTTGAGGGTGTTTTATTTTAATTACAGCTCTAACACATATGAACACCCTCCACGTTCTCCTTTCTACCACCTATCCAAGCCTCTCAAGACAGCGGCTGATAACATTTAGTTAACAGTGAAGTATGTGTGGAGGCCTGAATACCAGATATAAATTGACCTGACCTGCTAGTACAAATGCTGTGGCAGTGACACAAACAGACCCATGTACCACATATTATACCTAGCACATGTTATAGATAGCACATATACACAGTGCTTGCATTTGAATAAAAAAGGTGCCAGTACTATAAAACAGCATCTGTGCAGCTTTCATGAGTAGGGGTTGTTTTTGGCTGGTTTGCTGGTTAGATAAATGACCAAGCACTAGTTATACTATGAGTTAATTATTTCCAGACATGTTTCTCTCTCTATACAAAAAACAACACAAACATTTCTAATTTAAAATATACTTTAAATGTATTCTTTCAATTATTAATTATGCTTTCTCAGCTTGTCCCAGACAGCCATCTCTGATTAGCATATCTGCAAAATAAACACACACACACCTGTGTGTGTGTGTGTGTGTGTCAGTAGTTATCAGAATACGTTTCGACCGCTGACAACTGTTTTCAGACATTTTCTTAGCATTAGCGAATAATCCTGGCAAGAGTCAGAGCGGGGACAGAGAGGACGTCTGCATACGTTACGTCACAGTGAGCTGGAGTGTCACTAAATGAATGAATGGCACATAATTGTATTCACAACATGGAAAAAATACAGTGTGTGTACCTAGATTCACCAATAAGTGGCACAGTTAGCAGTAATAAGTAATGGTACACAGGTGGACTCAAATAGGAAGTACTGGCCCAATTCAAGCACTTATACATATCCTATATTATACCTAGCACATATTGTATAGAGCACATATTATACATAACACATTACCTAGCAAATATTATATAGAACACATATTATACATAACACATATTATACATAGCACATATTATATAGAGCTGGTATTATACATCACACATTAAATAGCACATATTATATAGAGCTTGTATTATACATAACACATACTATACTGAGCACATATTATATAGAGCTTGTATTATACGTAACACATATTATACAAAGCACTTTACGATAGAAAGCTGGAGAGACAGTGTGTGTGTGTGTGTATATGTGTGTGTGTGTGTGTGTGTGTGTGCGTGCCTGAGACTGAACAGTGTTGTAGAGGAGAGAGAAGAGAGCAACGAAGGGACTTGAGCAGAACAAATGGCTGGCTGATTTAATGACACAGTAAAAGAGCGGCAAATTAATGGAACAATTATAACAATAATAAACTCTTCCATAGACCGTACTCAATATCCACACACACACACACACACACATACACACATTCAACCATCCAGAGACATAGAGAGAGAATGTGCTCTAGTGGTTTTAATTAAATCTGTTCCTGGTTGTACATTAATCAGATTTTTATCTAGTAAATACGAATAATCATTAATTTAATGGCTTTTACAAAACAGACTAATCACTAGTACGGAACAATACATATTTATGGCTCTCTCTTCTCTGCTATTTCTGGTATTCTAAAAATACCCGCTTGGTTGTTTTCCAACCCAAATAATATGTATATAGAACACATTACAAGTAACGCAAAATAAATATGCATGATGCTTTTTTAATTGTTATTAAAAAAAATCTAGTAAATAGCACATTCCTTTACGATGGTGTCAATTTTTTATATAATACAGCCTCTTAACTAGCCTAGAAATCTAGACGCCCCTAGCGGCAGCAAATTTAATTTGCAGCCAGGGGGTCTAGCCCTTTGTCGTCGTTTTTCTGTGCTGGAAACAGAAAATCTGTCAATCACAGCGTGAGGGGCCAATCTAACTCATTCAGCTGTTCAACCTGGGTGGGGTCATGAAAGGACTACCAGTCACAGGCCATGTAGTATTCAAAGGGGCATCATCATTGTTTTTTTTTGTTTTTTGTTGCTGTTTCAAATGTCATACTCGCAAATACTCCTGATGCCCACATTGTTATGGATGGTCTATCTCTCAAGGTGAATTCACTGGTGACGTGTCAGGACACCTTGCACGACCCACTCACGACACCACTGCGCGACCCAACGTGCCACATGACAAAACGCACCATCCAATAGATTTGGAGTACAGTCCAAAAAGACAGAAAGTTTTAAGCTGTGGATGATTTTGATTTTGTGTGTGATTTAAAATGCACAACGCCTGACCTAGCGACGCATATGGTGTCCCACTGCGTCCCGTGTGAATGCACCCTTATAATAACCTCACACCACTGTAATGCACCTTTATAATAACCTTACATCACACCACCAACATGACATCACGCTGAGATACCACCCCCCTGTCAATGAATTCACACTTCTGTAATAATGTCATAAAGTTGTTTGCCTGTAAGTTCTTGAATGAATGACATGCTGTCTCTCTAGTAGGCTCATAAAAAGAAGTGGAAAAAAACATAACTAAGTGGGGGTAACCATAGCAACGTGTCCATATAAGGATCCAACAGAAACCCGTTAATATTGGCTATTTTACTTCATATAATTGGAAACCAAATCAATCAATCAAGACAGTTATGAAGTCTATCAAAAAGTCACAGAAGTCCAGAATGAGCTCCTCCACTTTTAGAAGCATGTTAGCATGACAACCGTGGTGAAAACAAAGTGAAGTAACCATGCAGGCAATGGCTCCGGCGTCATCTCTCCCACTGAGTGTTCATAGAAAATATTGCAGGTGATTTTGGTTCCAGTCCTAGCAGTCTTTCTGTTAATCATCATAACATCAAACCCCTGTAATGACCATACACTACGATATAGTAGTGTGAGCTGACCGTACATCAATATACCAATATAATGACTATAATGACCTCACA